GCAACTTAAACTCACACCGTGATACCATTAACCAACAACCACCAAAAATAAGTCTGACAACACCCAGTATGGGTGTAAGGAGCCACATGGGTCCCCAGGCACTGCTGGTGGGAGTGCACAACGACACAACTGCTTTGGAAAACAGTTTGGAATGATGTGGTGAAATGGAAGATACACATAGTCTATGGCCCAACAATTTCACTCCAAGGTGGGTGTATAGCTAAAGAAATGCTCGCACATGTGCACAGGGAGCCTGTGCGGGAATGTTTACAGCAGCATTGTTCATAATAGCTGAAAACCACCCACACACCACTTACAGGAGGCTGGAAAGACAAATCTTGGTGAGCTTCTACAATAGGTGCTGTTCATAGTATAAATGAATAAATTGCTGCTGTGTGCTATATGGATGAACCGCAGGGACATAATGTTAAGCAATAAAAGCAAGTACTTTAAGGATATATTCAGTATGATTCCATTACAATTTTTTTTAAAACATGCAAAATTAGAAATTTCCGTTATTTAGAAGTAAAGCATATATGGCATAGAACCACAAGATAGTGCTCAGCGCAGAATTCAGAACAGTGGCTAACCTGTAAGGTAAGAGGTAAGGCTAGGATAGAGGGGTATACAGGAAATTAAAATCAATATTAATGTTTTTTTTCTTAAACGCAGAGGGGATATACATACATATATCAGTTGTATTATTGCTTCAAATATACTTACTAAGTAGTCTTTTTTGCTTCTACTTAATATTTAATATCAATTTTAAAAGATTCTAAAATATCATATTTGAAAACACTGTTATCAGTAATAGAAAGAGGAATTCCTACGAATTATTGAGTGACTACCATGTAATGATTACAATGAAGGAAGGCACTGCTTGCAATGCCTTAAGTGCACTGGCGAAGGCAGCTCGATGCCCTGAGAGTTCTGGCCTCTCTGATGTTCATCCTCACTGCCACTGGACATGATAGAGGTTGGTGTTTAAGTACCTGGGGTAAGCTTAACAGGCACCAAAACGTTCTGTCATCCTCAGGCTAAGAGGCCGGCTAAGTTGCTTTCTGTTCAACAACTGAACAGTGGGAAAGGGGTTCACCTCCATCCAGCAGGTGCTGAGCACACATCCATTACGCCTCAGCCTGTGGGAGGCATGGCTGGGGGGACCCACCACACAGGGCAGTCCCGCTCCGAGACCCACAGCCCGCTGGAGACAAGGCTGACAAACACGCGGGTAACACCACATGACAGGTGCCCGCAGGATCTTGTGTAAGCTGCTGCTGAAATGTTTTACCCAGGCTGGGAACAGACCATGGGATCGACTGACTACATCTGGCCCAACTGTTAATAAAGTCTTCTCGGGGAGAAGTCTCTCATCACAGAGGAAGAAATACAAATATTTAAAAAGCAAACAAGTCGCGGCCGCTCTCGGACCTGCTGACATATGCCTTGCTTTTTTTGAGCTCACAGCCTAACATTAAAATAACAGGCTTGCATTCCTCAAATGTCTCTACTGCTGTTCTTCCTTACACTGCCTGAAAGGCTGTCGGCTGCTGTCACTGGAGACATTGCCGTATTAGCCGCCACTGTTTACTGCTTGCTGTGTGGGTGGCTATGGGTCTAATAAGCCCTCCCCGGGAAGGTCCCCCAGGCGTCTCTGCTCTAATGAAGGCGCTGGGGGGGCGCGGCGGGAAGGTGGCTTTATAAATATGGATGAGAGAAGAGGAATTTAATTGCATTGGGCTGTACTTTACCGACGGGTAAAGGACAGGAGACTTTTTCAAGTGCTTTCACCACTTTACGGTTCCATGGGCTAACCAGCTTCGGCTAAAATCCGAGATATACTCAGTATGCAAAAGAGCAAGCCTGAGATCCGCAAGCAGTAAACACTGCGGCAAAGCTCTTCAGTTCGCTCTGCATAAATAGCTGAACCTACAAAGGAAATCTCTAGTCAGAGGTTTCCTGGTTATAATGAGAATTTTCTGGATGGGGAGAAGAGAGTGCTCTTTTCACTTGGAGACAAAGAAATGTTTGTAATGGAAATGTGTGCACCGGTTTTCCAAGGGGAGCTGCTGAAACTCTCTGATTAAAAACACAGTGAGGTGATGAGGCAGAGAAATCAAGCCAAAGGCGATGCACTTAAAATGTGGGTCTGCACTGATTTCTGAAGGTGGAGAGAGCCAGCCTGGCCACCAGCTTCCCGCCCCATTACTGCCCCTGCCCCTGCCCCTGCCCTTAGACAGTTAGAACCTGCCAGGCGCAGGGCTGTTGACTGTCTCTGGCCACTGTGTACCTGTTACTAAGCTACTCCCTGAGGAAAAAATAGGAGCCCAGGAGCCCAAAGACAAAGTCCTGCTCAGCACAGCCTCGGCGACAAGCCTGGGTTCGGGGATTCTACGGAAACATGACGATAAGTAGACCATTCAAGCATCTAGCAGTCTACAACGACAGTTCTTAGGTGAGGTACAAATACTGACTGATTTGAGGAATTCTGTTTCCTAGAGAATAAAGCCAAGGCAGAAAGAGGTCAGCTATCTCATTTGAAGTTGCTGAAATATAACCATCATCTGACACCTTGGAAGGTAGACCCTGGAATTAACGCAGGACAAACAAGCCCTGAAGCTGTAGTTCCCGCATTCCAGTCACTGGAGTTCGTCTAATACAATGTTTGCCGTATCCAGGTGTGCCTACCAGTATTTACTTAACATTTTTATTGAAAGTGACTTTAACGCAACTCATTGAAAAAATTTCTTAGTCTCCCTCCAAGCGACCATTTCCATGCAATCACACTTTGATATGCAGTTATATTTTTCTAATGTACATTTAGGAATGCATAACTATTAAAGTAAAAACATTCGTCCACAGCCCATCTAACATCCTCTCCTGGCCCAAGGGTACACGATGGAAAAACAGATCACGTATTTTAACTTAACAAGGACGACCTAACAGACTACGGCTGACCCTTGAACAATACGGTTTGAACTGCGTGGGTCCAACTTACATGTGGATTTTTTTCAATAAATACTGTAAATGTATTTTCTCTTTCTTAAGATATTTAAAATAACATTCTCTTTTCTGTAGCTTACTTTACTGTAGAGTGAAGTATATAGAATACATGTAACATACAAAATGTGCTAACCCACTGTGCATGTTTAGTGATAAGGCTTCCATCAGCAGTAGGTAGTCAAGCTTCTGGGGCGTTAGAAGTTCTCCCCAGATCCTCCACCTTGCGGGGGTCGGCACCCCTAGCCCTTACATCAAGGGTCAACAGTATATGTGTTTCTAAATATCATGGGGAAGAAAGAGTAGAAGGAGTTTTGTGCTATTTACGCTCAGGGTGTCCACGAAGAAGTCAGATTTCAGAGAAGGACGTTGGGAAGAAGTGAATGTAATAGCTTTCGCATAAGGAAAACGCAAGCCCAGGGTCACTCACAGGAAGTTCTCCGGGTACTCGCTCAGGGCCATGTCCACGATGCTCAGTGCGTCGTGGGAGTGCTTCTGGGCCGACAGCAGGAGGGCGAGCAGGTGCAGGGAGTTGACATCATCGCCTTGAAGCTGAAGAGCCTGGCGGACATACCCCAGAGCCTCCGGTATCTGGTTTAGAACAAAACCAACAAGAATTTTTAAACACACGTGCGCACACACTCATGCATGCACACACGTGTACACACACGCACACACACACATGAAGCCATCTTTATGAAAGCACCGGGATATTAGCCACAAACACGAAAACAAGACGCTCTCTTCAAGCAATAGTCTAATCATCAAAGTAATACTGTTTCTCTGTGTAACTGCCAATACCCCTAAGTAAACACTTTCTCTTTTTCTGCAAAAATGATCTACTTTGAATTATGCTAAAGATAATTTTACTACATGGAGGCACATAGCAATTGCCAGAGGTTTTTAGTGGAATTTAACAGCCTTAACTGAACTGTTCTCACTTTTTAAAGTATCACTGAAACAAAAGTGCTTAATAAGTCACGAACTTTAGAACAGCTTTCTAAATGACCAGACACCCATGATTCCTGCCAAGTTCCTTTGCCCTGGTTCTCCATCAGGGAAACACACACACACACACACACACACACACACACACACGCATACACACACAAAAGCCCCACACCTTCCCAAACCACAACCCAAATACCCTGATCCAAGAAACAAATGGCAGTGCCACGTTCAATGCCACATTCAAACTCAAGTGGGACAGGACACAACCTTGACCTTAAAATGCAATAGCTGTTCAAGGCTTTCTTCAAAATCATCCAAGCACGATGGTTGATAAAATGCACACGAGTACTGAACACCCTAGATTCCATGGAGGTTTAGCAGTCTCTGGGGAGAATTATAACCTGAAGCTTTCTCCAGAGTCAGCCTGGGACCCCTCCGGTCTCCCCTCCCAACGTCAGTCCCCTGGCTGGACCCCTCTCAGCTCTCCTGCTTCTTCTCAATCTCTCAGAAACCTCACTCCTTCGTAGGAAGCCACAACTTTGTTTTTTTCCAAATCGGTTAGTTTCCCTCTGCAACTTCATTTTGATGAATTTGATTATAAATGTTGGCTACGGAGGCTTCCTGCTTTGAGCCACAGAGTCATGGCTAACACAGCTGGAAGGGAGACCATCTGCCCAAGCCATCGTTTACGGGAGGAAGCTGAGTCCAGGGTTGAAACGACTTGAGCAAGGTCACCCAGCTGTTGAACTTCTGGGACGAGAGTGGCAGCTACATCTTCTGATTCCTCTCCCACCCTCTCCCCCTGCTCAAAGGGCACTGGCTCTAAAGATAACAGGCCACAAGCCCCTGCCCGCGGTCAGCAGGAAGTTCAGCCGCCGGGGCCTGGGGTTGTCATGCTGTGTGCTCACAAAGGCTCTGTGACCCTGTCCATCCCCCGGGTGAGAACTGGCGGTGTGAACAGCGCCCAGCCTGCACTGTGGGGAGGGTCGAAAGGCAGGTGTCAATGTGCAGTCTGACCAAAGCAGCCAGGGACAAACTGACACAGGGTTCACAATGGCATCCTGCAGGGACAGCTGACTTGAAGGAATGCAAGGCTGGCTCCTTCATTCAGTGAGTGCTCCCAAGTGCCTGCCACCTGCCAGGCAGCATTCCAGCTGCCGGGTCAAAGCGGTGACGATGACAGCCATGGCTCCTGCCTGCGTGGAACCTCCCCTCAGGCGGAAAGACACCAAACAGGAGAGCTGAGCAAGAGGAAGGGGCCGTGCAGGCTGCGGCAGGTAGGAGGCTTGACGGGGGAGGGAGAGAAGGTCCTGTGGGGGAGAGGAGCCAGGTGGCCATCATGAGCCCGCAGCTGTGAGCCACCCCATGCCAGGTGCGAGGACCTTGGTTTCCTTAGTCCCCAGGTCGCCAAAGGGAGCCGCCTCTCCGGGAAGTCAGATGCATGCCTGCAGCCGGGCCTGCCAGGAGAATGGCACGTCTGGGGAGCTGACCTTTCGTTCACCCTCCAGTCAGCGCTAAGGAATGTGCTGGGGTTACCACCAGTGTCTTGCACCTGGTGGGCAGGCAGGCATGCGGCCAGAGCCTCCAGAACAGCTGGGAGGGGACAGGAAGGGACGAGAAGGCACAGGCAGCTTCTGGAGACTTGCAACAGGGGGGATGAAGGCCAGCGAGGCTGTCCCTCCACCGAGGACACTGCTGACGCTCCTACTCCAGGAGTCACCGCGCGTAATGTTCAGACCTCCATGTATTTGAAAGGAACTGGTTGGTGCTTCTGTCTAGGCCTGCTGGCATCGTCAATCCCTGATACCTTATGGCAACCAGGCCCCACCCCAATCTCCACCCTGCTGAGAGCTCAGCATGGGCTCTGCTGGCAAGTCACACGGGCTCTTCGATGACCCCTGGGTTTAAGGTGTCTGCCACGTGCTGTGTCCATGTTGCCATCGACCCCGGGCTGGGCCCTCCAGGTCTATGGACTAAAACTCCTAAAGCAGAGCCTGGCCTGTGTCTATACAGCTGATGCTCAAACTGACCAGAGCACCCGGGTCTTCGCTGTGTGGAGGAGGCCCCTGGTCCAGGTCGGCCTGGGGTGGAGGACCAGCTACTAACTAACTCAAGCTGAGGCGCTGGAGGAACTGCATCAAGACAGAGCATGCACCCAGTTTAGGAACATTCAAGAAACTGACCTGTCTGGAGATGGCGAGCTGCAGAGCGAGGTAGAAAGCGGCTTGGTGATCTGTAGGTGACAGACTGTGGGCCCTGGAAAAGTATTTACGGCTGTTAGTACCTGGGAGAGGCCATTCTACTTTCCCTATCCAACAAGTAGTCACATTTGCATTTTTATCACTTGCATTTTTATACTAAGCCCCCATATTTAACTATTGAATGTCTCATTTAAACAAAGGTTTACTAATAAATGTGCTGTCTTTCCCCTTTTCTGTGTACACGAATGAGTGGCCTGCTTTGTGTTCGGTCCACCTCTGAAGCAGCAGCCGTGACCCTGGGCTCTGAGGAGCAGCCTGGAGGTGCAGAATCCGCAGGCCCTGAGCTCTGAATGCTCACCGTCACGCTGGGACACGGTGAGGCCATGGGTGTCCTGGGCAAGGCCATTGCACTTTGGTTGAGTTTTGGCTTGGCCTTAACGCTACCTTCACCCAAATTTCTGGATTTCAGAGAAACCATACGAAAATCAAGACGTGGCTTTGCTGGTAAAATGAGGTTCCATTTTTGATGAACTCACTCTAGGAGAGGAGGAGGAGACTCATTCAGTCTTCCAAAGCTACCAAGCCCCATGCAACTCTGACATATAAAGCTAAACACCTGGCTTAGGGTTACTGACTGGCCTTTGACACCAGCTGGGAAGAGCTGTCCTGGACTCCTGTTTGCAAACGTGGCCATTCTTGCTCTTATGTGGGAGTCAATCATATTTCACCACGAGCAACTCAACATGGGGCTGTATACGAGACATAACTCTCTGCTGGACAGCCTCGAGGGAAGAGAAAACCAACTTTACTTTCTTTACAAGGCACGATGGAGCAGACTAATTAAAAAACGGTGGGGCCCAGATAATAAACAGCCTTTCATTCTGTTCTGTCAACATTCTGTGATTAAAGGAGGATCTTCTAGGGGCAGAAAACAAATTCAGGAGGAAAAAGAAAGCCATACCCCAGGCAAACACAGTAGGGATAGCTTCATGCAGTAAAAGGCCTTTTCATGGAACTGTCCATCTGCTGTGGGGAAAAAGACTAAGAAGGCTTCCAGGTGTTTGCCATCCAGAAAATACGCCGAGTCCAACAATTTGGGCCATTGTTTGGGCAAATGTGGCAGCTCCTGTGGGGACTGGGGGGAGCAAGGGGAGTCTGTCCTTTTATCGCTCTTAAATCCACTCTCTGGTTACCTTACCAGGAACTGTGTCTAGGACTCTCCTCACCATAGGGTAACAGGCTCAGGCTATTTGCCTGTGCTGCCCTTTTAAATCTCTCGCTTCTACCACTATGCTCTAGTTTTTATTATTTTACTAGAGACCTGATGCATGAAATTCGTGCAAGAGTAGGCCTTCCTTCTCCCTGCTGATGGCACCGGCTTCCCTCTGGCACCTGGGACCTGGGCTTCCCCCACAGCCCCGGCTTCGTCCAGAAGGTCGTCCAATCTAATTAGCATATTACGCTTTTATTTTTATAGATAAGTATTGGTCTTCCCATGAATTTGTACACGGCTACTGCTTCAGAGGTGGACTGAACACAAAACAGGCCACTATCATTCCCATACACAGAAAAGGGAAAAAAGAATCTTTTTCTTTGATGTTCATCAGAAATGAGATGGGATGTCATGATTTCTGTTTCTCTCAATTATTCAGGGGAAACTAATACAAAATGAGTTATGAAGAGACAATGAATTATTCAGCATTCTTTATTTTATTTCACTTCTTTCCTAATGAATAAAAAGCCAGGTTTCTACAACCCTCAGCAAGAACCCCGCAGAGCTATCATTTTCTCAGCCCAGGTTAGGGTTTTCAAAGGTGAAGTTACATCAGATCATGATTGCCTCCACCCGACACCACCCAGGTGAGGAGCTGGCCATGGCCTGGTGGCTCTGGGTAATGGGTGAGGACAGTTCTGACATGAGACCCACCTTGGCCTCATCAGTGATTACGTGCTGTGAGCCACACACCGTGACAAAAACAACCAGGCAGGCTGGGGATCTCGGCGTTTCTGGGAAGATTGGGCAGCAGCTGAAGAACTGCAAACCTGTCTAATGATGGATATCCAACTGCCAATTTCTCACGAGGCACAACTTAAACATACACACTTTAGCCAAAACCGGTTTGGCTCAGTGGATAGAGCGTCGGCCTGCGGACCGAAAGGTCCCGGGTTCGATTCCGGTCAAGGGCATGTACCTGGCTTGCGGGCACATCCCCAGTAGGAGATGTGCAGGAGGCAGCTGATCGATGTTTCTCTCTCATCGATGTTTCTAACTCTCTATCTCTCTCCCTTCCTCTCTGTAAAAAATCAATAAAATATATTTAAAAAAAAATAAACATACACACTTTAAAAATCTTATTTTTATAATTTAGCTAATGAGTTAAACTGACTACTTTAGCCCAGGAAAGAAAAAAGAAAATAAGGAGAATGCTCAACAAAAGAAGAAAAAGTGCATGGTGTTGATCTCAGGACACACCCATAGCCAACCTGCTCGACCAACGTCATCAGGCCATGCAGGTAAGAGGATGGACATTCGTGTTCCTGACGATTAGAACCCTGCTGAACACTGCACATGAATACAAAGCAGCCCCACAAGCCCCACTCCCATACAGCAGCACCTGGTGGAGCCGTTAGGAGAAACCCAGACATCTAAAAATGTCACCACAGGATGCTCACAAAGCACTTCCCTTGTCAAAGCAACTCCATGCCCATTAATTTAATGTATTGTCCATAAAAAAGAATTGTTAGACTGATGGGTCACCAGGCCACCTGTCCGTCCATCCATCCATCCATCCATCCATCCACCCACTCGTCCATCCATCCATCCATCCATCCTTCCATCCTTCCATCTATCCACTCATCTATTCATCAGTCCATCCATCCATCCATCCATCCACTCATCCATCCATCCATCCATCCATCCATCCATCCATCCACTCATCTATTCACCTATCCATCCACTCATCCATCCATCCACTCATCCATCCATCCACTCATCCATCCATCCATCCATCCATCCATCCATCCATCCATCCACTCATCCATCCATCCATCCATCCATCCATCCATCCATCCATCCATCAACTCATCCACCTATCCATCCATTCACCCACCCACATTATTCAGTACTGATGTGGTGCCAGGCCTGTGCCAGCCTCTGGGGAGCCTGCAGATGAACCATGCACCAGCCTGGAGAAGGGAGAACATCCCTTCTCCCCCAGATCCAGGGAGACCCAAAGTGACCATTACAGTACAGTGGGAGCAGGGCCCCGAGAGAGGCATACCAGGCTGCTGCCGGGGAGCATGGAATGGGCCCCCAAGATCACCTGTCTAGAACCCAGAACACCTTGAGGTCCACCCAGTGCTCTCCTAGACTCTGGTTCCAACATGTTCTAGAACCAAGAATATAGAAAAGGCTGAACAATTTTGACCCTGGTCATTAAGATACATACTTTATAACAGTAACTACAATTTATGAAGAATCTACTTTTAAGCACCTGGCCCAAGAGTATCCAGCAAAAGAGCTAGAGCTAGAAGTGAAATCCTGAGGCCTGTTCTCTCCCCCATATCACCCTGCTGCCTCGTTCAGTCAATTCTTCTCAAAGTCTCCTTCTGTCCAGATTACAAGGGACCTGTGATCCGTGTATTTATTAGTCAGTTAAGGGGGAACATGTACACACCTGGTTAAATCTATCACTCAGGAGCCTCCCATTAGTGACACACACAGGATGACCAACCTGTCCTGGTCTTCCCTGGTTTCAGCACTCAGTCCCATGGTCTGGGATGCTGCTCACTTCCCGAAAAACTGGGATGGCCACTCATTCCATACACACCAATGACACCACAAGCAAGCTTAATCGCAGCCAGGAGGGAGAGCACCATGACGCGAGATCGTGTTTCACACTGAGTGACAAACACGACCAACACCACCTGGAGCAGCCGATTTCTGCATGTGGGGCCGTCTCTGCACCAGGCTCGCAGCTTTGCAGACAACATGGTCTTGTTCACTATACCTCTGTACGGGCCGAATGAATTGGCCCAACTGCTGGGACTGAGCTTCTGGACGTACGAACAGTGGAGGGCCTCAATATTAAGATGCAGAAATGCAAGAGGGAGGCCTTCAAAAACCACCTTTTTTAATCTACCCGACAGCAAATCTTTCTGAATTCTGACACCAGGCATAATTAAGAGCTAATATTTATATGTTGTATCTGCAACCCCACCCCTTTTTGAGTTACACTCTTTTCTTTTTTGTATAAACAGCACTGTAGGCAGAGGATTTAAATCTATAGCAAAAAAAAAGTACTTCTCATCCAAGTGGTTTTTAAATATCCATTTACATTTAAGGAGGAATACTAATCATTCATATTTACTTAAAATCTTTCCTTACAGATTGTCAGGTCTACAGTGTACTAGAAGAGCCCTCATTAATGTGTACTTGAAACAAAATTATTTATTTCCTTGAAAAATATTCTTTATTTCACACAAATACTAATTTAGATTAGCCTTTGCCAATAAATCACGTAGGTTAATAGGGTTTTATTACTCTTTATTTCCACAGGAACTAATATTTTAGAAAATCTCTGAATTGAAACCTAAGTAAAAGGCACAAGAAGGAATTCGGGTCCATGGAACAGCTGTGACATAACATGAAGTTACGAATTGTGGCGGCTCGAGGCAGACCACCACCACGGCTGCTGTTAGAGAGCCAATGAGATGTGCTGACTTGAGAAAAGGAAAGCGGATGTAATGGCCACTTTCTGAGGCAGTCATGTGTTTCACAAGCTGGGACTGGAAAAGTTAAAACTCCATATTGTTTGAAATGGAAAGGCTTCCCTCACTCCCCATGCTGAAGAACGGCAACAAAAGCTCAGCACAGACATAGATCTGTGTGCAGGTGTCAATCCGGACTGTGTGTCATTACCCAGCCTGGGACAGGCAAGGTGAAGGCACAACCCGCAAGCCTGGCAGGAAGCAGAAGCGAGATGCAAGATTTTGGACTAACCGAAATCAAGTAATAATGGTTTCATGAAGACAGGGGCGTGAACCCTGCGGTAAATCCGTAGGCAACCCCGGTTCTGGGAAAGAAATCTAGCAAAGGGTATTAGTGACTGAGGTCCTCATGAAATGTAGGTGCAAGTAACTGAGTTTCTAATACAATTCCAAGAAAGCAACGTAACGCAGATATATTTAAAGTGAGAGGATCAATAGCAATTGTGGATTTGCCATCAGGCGGCTTTACTTTCAAGCAATGATTCGTTTTAGTGATTTATTACAGCTGCGATAAGAATAAAATCAGGGCAGTGAAGTGCAGTCAGTACCAGAAAAGTTGGGTTAGAGTCAGGAGACGATGATTCTATCCTGACCTCAAAGGCAATGTGGCTCTGTAACTCCCCACTCCTGCATGCCAGTCCCTCACCTGCAGTGAACATGCTGCTTGTCCTGTCTACCTGTCTGGTGTGGGTGAGGACGAGTTAAATGAGGGGTGTGGGAGAACACTATGACACGCAAGCACGTGCTAATTATAAAGCATTCTCCGAATTTCACGGCAGGTACAATGATGGAGACAGCACAGGTATTATGGAGCAAGACAGGGGTGGAGGCGACTTGACTGTCTTCACATAGTATTTCAGAGACTGCCCTAAAACTTAACTTTTTCATTTCTTAACATAAAAATCTGCAGCTTCACGGGCAAAAAAAAAAAAAAAAAAAAAAAACTAGTAAAGAATGATTCCGTTTCTAGATGATGACAAATGTCTTTAATAAAAGGAATCATCTCCCTACACATACAGAGCATCTGCCTTCCCAGAGCTGAACTGGCTTTATTAGGAAGGAAGAAAATGTGCCCGAAGGCTGAAGGACGGACAGATGAAGAATGCAGATCTGC